CGCTACCACTTGTGTGAGATGGGGCAAAGGTCTGCAGGTGAGGATTGTACATTGGGGACCAACGAAGTACATAAGACAGGTATTTTGCCGGGATATCCCTACCTTATAAGGCTTCAGTACGAGGGGGATTCTGTCTATGTGGCATATCTCTAGCCTAATTAATGTTTGCCTCTGCGATTTTTTGGGGGCCCTACTTAAACCTTTCGCAAACCGTAAACCCTAAACCCCACACCAAAACCCTCAACCCGAAACCCTAAACCAAAACCCTAAACCCTAAACCTTACATCCGGCTCTTGTTATTTAGGGCTCTGGATATCAGAGTTCATGGTTGAAACTACCATGGCAGTTTTCGAAGCCCTGGGTTCCTACGGTTGATGATATATATATATATACATATATATATATATATATATCTCCTAGGGTTCCTTCAAAGGGATCTATAAGGGTACCTGTTTAAGGAGTTCCTGTAAGGGATCTATAGTGTTTTAGGGTTTAGGCTTAGGGTTTAGGGATATATATATATATATATATATGTAAATATGTGTCCTGCATTACCCATAGTATGGATTATACCATGCTTCGCATAGTTTACGGTCCTTAAGGTAACGCAGGATTTATATCATCAACAGTAGATCGTCATCCCAAACCCTATAAAGCCTGACGCTCCCCATCCCTAGATGCTGAACCCTATCCCGGTGTGGGTTTAGGGGACCTTCTGGCAGCAAAGCTTGGGATAGTTGAGTTGGCGCTTCCCCGAAGGCCATGCGCCTACATCATGTATACTCTGATTCAAAAGTACCGATAGTATGGGGGACATCCTAGAGGCCGAAGTACATGCTTTGACCTTGAACGACTCAGAGTTTAGCCGGACTCTGCAATGAAGTTCGATTTCTGCTTTATCAGCTTTATACTTGGGACCGACCCTCGTCAAGCAACCAAACTAAAGGACCACGTTGAAGAGCACAATTTCATTGCTGGGCCATCCCATTTGCCCACTTTTTCGGGGTGGTTCAGGCAGGCCTTAAACCGAAGTGGGTTTAGGTAGGCCTTGAACCATACACCCTGGGCGCCCTAAACCCACTTTCGGGGGGGAGGGGGGGTAGGTATAGGCCTTAAACCCTCAACCCTGAATAACCTACCTTTTTAGGGCTCATTGTTATGATTTCCTTATATAAGTCCCTAAAAAAAGTAAGTTATTCGGGGTTAAGGTAAACCCTAAACCACCTTAGCAGGTCTGGATCTTCATCCACTCATTGTGGTCATCGCGCTCACTTTCTGGAGTGCCGTGGGCAGCTGAGATGGGCTCGTCTCATCTAGGGGCCTTCATGCTTACCCATAGGTCCGACCGTAGTTCCTATTTGGGACTGCCTTATAGGGTTCTACATATGAACCCCAAGAAGGAACTACTATGGGGCCTATGGCCAGTTTGCCTTCGGGCTTCTTAACGAATCTATTATAGTAGATGCTTCTAATTAACTAGGCTTTTAATCCGTAGTCCGAAGCCCTAAACCCTAAACTAGGACCTCAATTCGGATACACCATAAAATCAACCCTAAGCCTTAAACTAAGCGCTGAACTTTAGGCCAATCTCTAAACCTGACAGTATGTTTTGAGCCCGTCATCCCAGACGTTCAGGCAAAAGGCTGGAAGGCATCAGACTTATCTGGGAGTTTCCGAAAATTCGGGGTACCTTATTTTGGGGTCCTTATAATAGGGATCCTACTATTTAGAGTACTATCTTAGGGGCCCTTATTTTCGGAAACCCCCCATCTGAGAGCTCTCGGAGTTGGTGTCACACTGCGTTGTTGTTCTGAAGGCTTCTATGTGGGGCGTTACCGATGAGTTCTACTACGGGCTTTAGGGTTTAAAAGGGGCTCTAAGCATGCCTTAGGGCGGTTAAAGGTTGCGGTTAAGGATTTAGAATAGTTTTGAAAGAGGTGCGGATGCGAAAATCCGGATAGTGATTCAGCTGTACTCATCATCAATGCCTGTTCTTAGATTTCCTGGTATGGCTGTGGCACAAGTAAGCCACCAGTACCCACTGTGGTAATGAGGTTTATGTGAGAGCCTGTATTGTGGATTCAGTGGTCGTGGGACAGGCTAGCTGTAAACTTGCATGGACAGGCTTGGTCTTTGTAGGTCAAGTAAGGGTACAGAATAGTAGGTTACGGTTCCATCAATATCGTGTGAGGCCCGTAGAGTGGCAGGTACCCCGCACTTTGGCATCTTGTGGCAGTATGGTTTCTGAGCCCTGACTAACTAGACTAGACTCCTACCTGAATCCCCATGAATCCGACAAACCTCGTCTATGCACGAGGCCTGACAACCCCCACTCAGCTTTTGAGGCGGAAACCCTGAATCCTCACTCCCAAGACGCTGATACAGGTCTGGGGCATTGCCGGTGCCATGCTTTCCGTGCCCCTGACGTCGGTGATCAGGCCTGTAGATATGTCCTTTCCCGAAGGGTCCATGCACCCAATTAGTAGATACTTTGTCCAATTTACCTATATAGGGACTACTTCAAGGCCAAAGTGTATACTACTTTGGGTACATGGACCCTTATACTGTAAACCCTTATAGATCCCGTTAAAGGAACCCTTATGGTACCCTTAAAGGAGACCCCTATTTGGGTACATGGACCCTTAGGGTTCAAAGGGGTTGCTGTGTTTGAACGGCACCCTGCAGCTCCTGACCCCGAGCTCCGCAGTGGCCTGGGTTGGGTGTAGGGATGGTGGTTCGTGCCGACGTACTCCGGTATGGGTAGTTATAAGGGCTCCTTTGAGGGTCCCTTTAAAGGGATCTATAGGGATTCTATAAGGGTATAGGGTATAGGGTCTACTTGGAGGTTCATGGGTAGTTATAAGTGGGGTTATAAGTCCCTAATATAGGTTATAGCCATACTTATCCTACTTACAACCCTACTGCTAACTAATTACCCATGAGCCTCCAAGTAGCTTGAGTCGGGCACTGGTGCTCCTTTCCGGGAAGGTTTTGCGCGAGCGAGTATGAAAGACACCCTGATCGATCTTCTAGCCAGCAGGGGCACAGGCAATCATGATTTACCGGTGCTTTGGCACCCAACCGTTTCTCAGTGATGGCACAGGGAGCTTGTTTCAATAAACGCAGATTATGGCCCAGGTCTTCATTAGACCGGCCACTGGAAGTTTCGCTATCTCCCTAGCTTTGAACCCCTAAACCCTAAGCCCTCTGAGGCCTTGAAAGTATATTCAGGACCTAGAGTAGGCCCTTATTCCCTTTTTAAGGTTCAGGTTCCCTTATAAGCTCCTTTAAGGGCACCCTTTTTATTGCTAGGTTACTCTTAGGTCTAGTACAAGACAAGGAAGAAGGTACCGAAGTCTTCGGCACCGATATGGAACCTTACCTAGAGTCTCCATTGTAGTTCCTTCTTTTGAGTTAAACCTACTTTTTGTAGGATCCTGTAAGGTAAGCCCCCCAAACGAGACTACAATGGAGACTATAGGTATGTAAACAACCTCTCAATTTGGGGGCTTTTCTGGGTTTAGGCGTTTCTAATAAACTCTGCGTTAGATCTTAAAGCCTACATCCATTTTGCAGACCCAGATGTAGAGCAGACTGTGACCGGACTCCAAGCAACCGAGAGACAAGAACAACGTCTGTAGCTGGTTATGTAACATTATGTAGTCCTGTTGGTGGGCGTTGAGGCTAGAAGGGTAGTCCGGGCGCACTGCGTTCAGGGAATCGAAGTTTTGCACTGCTCAACAGCATGTTGAGAGTTTTTGGTGTCGGGCCTCTTTGTTTCGGAACGTGGCCGTCTTCTGCAAACCTTTCCTCAGTGCTAGACCCCATACCGAAACCCTGGATCCCAAACATGTACTCCGCTCAACTCTCCCCTGCACAAACCCTAGACACTAACCCCTGAACCCCTAATTCGAGCCCCTAAGTCCCTAAACCCCTAATTCGAGCCCCTAAGTCCCTAAACCCCAACCCCTAAACCCCAAAATCCCTAAACCCTAAAACCTAAAACCGAAAAGCCAACCCACAGGCTTTGGCTGGAGGAATTTGACCACCCCTATGCCAAAGTGGCCGCAGCCCCGGCATCGCTGCAGCTGAGATTTTGGGGCTTGGGCGTTTAAGGTTTAGGGGTTTGTACTGGGCCTAATGTAGGAACCTGATTAACAAAACTTAGGCCTTTATTAGGGCTCCTTAGATGGATGGCTTGTGGTCGTGGTGCCAACACCTGGAGAAGGGACCTCTGGCCCACAGAAGACCCAGTATTTGCAATACTGGGCTGTTGTTAAGGGCTTAAAGTAAATTAACAGAATAAGGAACCACATTAGCTAGATGACATACCTAGACAACCCGCCCCCGCATAATTTCAGGCACAATCCTTAGATGCATGAAAAAGCGCCACTGTTGGCAAGAAACGCAATTGTTCTGAAAAAAGGTAATCGGCCAAATGCTCCCTCTCGGAAGAAACGTAATCTTTGGAATGCTCCCTCTCCGAAAAAAAGCAATCATGCGACTTGCTTTCTCGCTTCTTGACAGCATGCTCGAAACGAGGTTGGTGCCAAGGCTCCTCAATGCAGACCTGTTTAAAGCTATACCCTAAACCCCTTTTGCGATACCCTCAAAACCTAAACCCTAGACCCCTGTTGACAGCTACCTATACCATAAAACCCTGTTGAAATATTCGAAAAAACCAAACTTAAACCCCTAAAGACCCTAAAGTCTTAGTATATAGGGAATCTACTTAAGGAGCCTTTCAAGAAGTATACGTACCTTCACAAGGTACCTTTGCGTTGTTCGGAGCGCAGCTTGGGAAGCATGAACCCGTCTACTTACCCTCGACAATTTCCCTATAAAGTCTTCATTGCTTTCGCAAAGGTGTAGTGCTTCATTGAGCACCCATGGAGCATTGTTGTCAATCTGGGCTTTGAGGTGTACGAGTAGGTGCATCATGTAATGAAGTTTTGGCCGCAGATTGTACCCAGTGCAACCCTGCTCCATACAGCGCTGTGCTAAGAAGGCGTACCCTCGAGCGAAGACCAAGCCCCCTTGTAGCTGAACCTTGCCGCAGTTCAATGGGAGCCAAATGCCATGACTATGCATCACCCCGATATAATCCAAACCCCCACGAATCATTTGGGATGCTGCTCGCAAGAACACAAGATCGCTTGCCTGCTTCGGTTCAGCTGCAAAGCTTGGCACAAGGAAGTCTAACCATTGCATGAGCATCGTGACTTCACTTCCTTTAGCGTTCACCCATGCAAACTTAGACATCTTTGCAAAGTTGAAATTCGCTTTCGTGAAGCCTTTCAACGAAGGGTTCTTGTTTGCAGCCAGGCACCACAACTTGTAGAGTGAATATGCCCTAGCGAGACGATCAGTTATGTTCTTGTAGTCCTCAGCAGACAAGTCAAAGTAGCCCATCAGTGCCAATCTGACGATCGTGCTGGCAACAGCATCACGAAATATACCGAACTTCAACACATGGAAGGGGTCGAACTTGTAGAGGTTAGCTGGGAAGGTTGTCGAGAAAGGGGCCAGGTTTAGAGGGGGTGTCGTGTCCCATGGCACCGATGTTCCCATACTCGCCAGCCACTCGGGCGCATCAGAGACATCTGTGTAGCTTACACCTTCGGTGCCAGCTTCACAGAGCGGGCAAATCGGAGCAGCATTCACGGTTCCGGTTCGATGATATGACCGATTGAAGATCCCTGCATCAAAATGCCACTCAGCATCGCCCTTTGCTCCGATGAACACAAACCGGAACCGCATCCCAGATTTCTCGTGGAGCAGACCCTCCTGGAAACAGCCTTTGAGATCCTCAGCGGCTTGCTTCAACAAGCACGGAAGCACTTCTGCATTTCGGCTGTAGAGCTTGGAAGGGATTGCTCCAATCAGGAAGCGGCTCAAGAAACTGTGCCCACGATTGTTGTGGCGCTGGTGATTGCCTTTGGTTTCGGGGTTGAAACGACCAGCAGATCTAAGAGGGCAGCTGTCGAAACACATGTCCCTAAAAGTTCGCTTTCCCGAAGCACGGCGGCCACAGTGCCACTGGAGGTGCCCATCTTTGGTGTCATACCGAGTGTTGCGACAATCATAAGCAACCTTCTTGAGCATGCTTGGTGAGATTCCCCAAACTAACTCGAAGCTCATTACGAAGATGGGGCTTTTCTGCAATGTTCGGCCTTTGTCACCATGTACCAGAAGTGGAACACAAAAGGATCTATCTTTAGCAGGCACTTCGCTATAGATCACATGGTCCCCATGGTAGCTCTGGTAACGGCTCCAAAAGGTAGAACAAAGATCTCGGGCAGCATCGGAATCCGCCTTCAGCCCTGCAAACAAGACTTCTTCGAACTTGTTAAGCAAATGCTTGAGGAAATCCGTGATCTTCAAGTACGGGACCGTGACACTATCCTCGCTGCTACTCTGCGGCACGTCCATATACGAGATTGGAACTCGGAGGGCCAAGCCATATCTATTGAACATTCTGTGTGCATTGCGTTCACTATGGCTCTTGTCAACTTTCGTGGCCTCCCGTATGTTCTGCGTAGCACTACCATCAGCAACTACAGCTTCAGCAGTCTCGCCGATCACACAAGCTGGCGCCTGGGTAGTTAGTGCATTTGAAGTCTTTGATGGAAGAAGTTCGTCGGGTTTCCCAAATTCAGAACATATATCAGCTAAACTATTTATGTTGAAGGTTTCGACCCCTTGAACATAAGTATACTCTATATGTCATTATAATAGGGCTTATATAGCTATATAGGGTCTATGATGATTTGTGTGCTGGTTTCCTTGAATGAGCTTTGTGCAGGGTCCAGGGCCTAGACCTATAATGACGATGGACTTAGTAAGTATCAGACAGCTATAGACATTGTTTTGGATTGCACTTAAGTTATTGGGCTGATCAATTAATTTCGGTCGCTGGGGGTTTTGTTTTGGATTACCATACGATCAGTTAATCTGTTGGGATGTATAGAGCTTTGGGACTCCACTTTGCGTGATATACACTATATAATTTATAAGGATCGATTAAACTTTGGTTTACACCAGGCTTGGGAGAGGAGGGTTATGTTCAGGATTTCATAGGGGGTCTCGGCTGGGCTTCAGATTGGTTGTGTAGTACAGGGATCTGAGACATGCACTCCATCGGCCACTCGCTCAGCCAGCACACGAAGAGTGTGGCTGGGCTGTGGATCACCTGCCATGCCGCTGATTGGGATGGAAGCATGAACCCTAGCAAATAATGCATCGACGATCACACTCAAAGTGCACCGATTTTTTTCCAACTGTATGTGGCTGACCAGATCCAGCTGCTGCCAAGATTGGGCTTTATAATCGCCTGCTTCCTTTAAGACAGTTTCAAGACTGATGCAGCAAATTGTCCAAACCAAGATCCCCATCCCATGATATGTAGTAAAAGACGATTAACATAAGTGAGTTAGGATTGCAGCAAGCCAGCCCATGTGCCCTCTGGCAAGGATCCTTCAGATGCAGCTCTCACTTCTTGGCCCTCTTGTTAGGTGGCTCAGCTGGAGCCTTGACTCTGGCTTTGGGTGGCACCTTTGGTTGCGCCTTGCCCGCAGCCTGCGGCTTCATGGTCGGAAGGATGGTCCTGCGAGAGGTTTTGGACATTGTTTGGGGGAACTATAGCTACTGTTTATCTTCGCAATCCTGGCGCGAGTTTCCAGATCGGAAGACTCAATCAACCTCAGGTCGAGCAATATTTATTCTCGTCGTAAGATGCACCGAACACATAACAGAGATATTCGAGGTAGCGGTTTCTTATGTGCAGCCACGGTTCAGCCTGCGGCATACACCGAGCTCCACATCGATTTCGTTTTCCATCCTCAGATACAGGATAGATTATTTAATTGTATGCGGGGTCTAGAGGATCAGGGGTTTGGGTCTGGTAGGATTATGGCATCTTGCAAGACCCTGGGAACTCTTTATCTACGGCATCTACGGAGTACCCCAGGTGCTGTCACATACATTGCAAAATCATACTGATGAATTAATCAGTATGATTTTGCAATGTATGTGACAGTACATATGATTACATAGGCCGGTTTGTGTAATTATAATTCCAGATACAGCTATTCAGGGCACCATTATGGGAATTGGATTCGGGATTAATAGGCGGTCTAGCAACTTCTCGTTGTAGCCATCCAGCACACCCTCAGCCTTGTGCTTCTGTAGCTTCTCGCAACAGGCGTCCACAGCACTGTAGACAGCCCGGATCTTTGCATACATCCTGAGCAATGAAGGTATATATGCATCGTGAGAAATTTACATATACTGCAATATCATCTGAATGCTGAGAACAAGGCTTCTCTTGCAGCTCTGAAGTTTCCCCTTGACCCTCTTGTGCGGCAGCTGCATCTTCTTTTTTTGGTTGCTCACGTGCTGGCAGCATTTGTGCCAGTTTCGTCGATCGTCTGGTGCAGGCCTGAATAGCCTTTTCGATTAGGGCCGAGGGCTTGGAAGTATCATGGATATCCGGGTACCCTAGCTTCTTCAAGAGCTTGCTGAGATCTTCATTCAAAGGGCCCGATTTCACAGCCCCGTCGGCTGCATCTGTCATCGACTCCGGCAAAGAACCTCGAATGCTTAAGTAGCTGAGGCAAGAAGTGCAGCGGTGCAGATGCGATAACTCTGTGCAGCAACTTAATTGCAAAAAGAGCAGCTGGCACCCTGCTCCAGGGCCTCTTCCAAATCCACTTCCATGTCAAGGCCACTCCCGAAGGCTTCAGCCTCCATCGTCTCGGTCATAGTCAGACTGTCTCTCTTCCTCAGGCAGCAATATAGTTTTGTGAAAGTAGTTTAGTTCAAGTAGGATGCATGTTGAATGTCGTGTACAGTGCTATAGGTACAGATCGGGGCACTTGTTGTGGCCTTTAACCTTGATCTCGCAGTAGTACCGGAGGTGCCCGATCTTGTAGGGGTGCTTCCTCGGATGGACAGCAAAATTTGCAGCTGCTTGCCCTAAAGAGCTATAGATAGATATAATATAGGTTACATGTATAGTTTTGCAGTAAAGAAACCGAATCTTGCGCTTGGGGTCCAACTCAGCTTGGGCAACACATTCTTCGATGTCAGCCCTCAGCTTCTGCAACTGATGTGTTTTTGCTGATCATGCTATACTGCTGCTTAGTAACGGGGTCATATTCTGATCTTCAGCCATCTCCTTCTTGGTTAAGAACTCGAAATCCACCTCGGTCTCCAGCTCGATGTGTTTCTCCCGCTCCACGGAGAACTTGTTCAGGAAAACCTCCTTTCAGGGAAGAGTAATTTCAGTTCTTATATATCGATGATTCTATAGTTTAGGGTGCATGCACGGCTTATGTAGGGTTTAGGGGGAGGGCTGTCCGGCTTGTGGTCGCAGGCAGCGAAAAGCTTTAGCACTTTGTCTTTGGATACCCCACCGGCATTGAACTGATCGCGAATGCACTTTGCCATCTTGTAGAGACCCTTCGCATTCGGTTCCATACATCTCATAAGCCTCTTTGTGATGGCACCAGAGGTGGGGGGCGGCGAGGCTTTGTCTGCAGGTGCAGGTGCCTTTGCAGGGGTTGGTGGCTGGCCTTTGGGAATGGCCAGCTGCAGGTTTCCTGAGGAAGGCAGGGAGATACTGGGAGACTTTGTCGCGGTACACGGTGTGGCCATTGACTTCTGGGCGGGGGGTGGTGTTGGGGACTGAAACAGGCTGCGACTAGGCCAAGGATCTTGAGCATCTTGGCTCGATGTTTCCAGTGGGGACAGCGGTTCCGTTGGGGTCAGTGAGTTGGCTCCTCAGGGTTTCCAGCTTGGTAACACCTGGAATCAACGGCGCTTGCTGGGACTGCATCAGTGCATCAGTCTCCCCTAGTACATCCACCAATTGCTTCTGGAGTTCGGCCAGCTTGGCCTGCTTGGCTGCCAAGTCAGCCTTCTTGGCACGCTGTGTGTCTATGTCCTGCATGAGTGCCTCTCTGCTCCATGTCTTAAATTGCTCTAGCTCGGCCTTTTCCTCTGCTTGTCGCTTGGCTTCCTCATGCTTCTGTCGTGCGGCTTCCTCCTGTTCCTTTGCCTGTCGCTGGGCTTCCTCCTGTGCCTGTCGTTTGGCTTCCTCATGTGCCTGTCGTGTGGCTTCCTCCTGTTCCTTGGCTCGTCGCTCTTGCTCGGCCTTTTCCTTCGCCTGGCGTTCGCTTTCCTCCTGTTCCTTTGCTTTTCGTTCAAGCTCGGCCTTTTCCTTTGCCTGTCGCTGCAGCTCCCTGTCCAATGTCTTTTGTTCGGCCTCCATCCTTTCCTTCAGCAGCTCCTGAAGCTGTCGCTCCTTTTCCATCACTTGTCGCTGCAGCTCCTTTTCCCTGGCCTGGCATTTCGCTTCCTCCTGTTCCTTTGCTTTTTGCTGTAGCTCTGCCTTTTCCTTTGCCTGTCGCTGCAGTTCCTTTTCCTTTGCCTGTCGTTCGGCTTCTTCCTGTTCCTTGGCTCGTAGCTCCAGCTCCTTCTTTTCCTGGGCCTGGCGTTTGGCTTCCTCCTGCAGTTCCTTCGTTTTTTGCTCTCGCTCCGCCTTTTCCTTTGCTTGTCGTTGCAGCTCCTGACGCTCTAGCTCGGCCTTTTCCTGTGCCTGTCGTTGCAGCTCCTGTCGCTCTAGCTCGGCCTTTTCCTCTGCCTGTCGTTGCAGCTCCTGTCGCTCTAGCTCGGCCTTTTCCTTGGCCTGTCGTTGCAGGTCCTGTCGCTCTAGCTCGGCCTTTTCCTTAGCCTGCCGTTGCAGCTCCTTGTCCTCTGCCAGTCTCTCTGACTCGGTCTTTTCGTCAGCACCACCTACATTAGCATGCAGTTGCTAAATGTTTGTGCATGTGTATCTATAGATCCCTCAGATCTAATAAGTCGATTCATATTTAGGGTTTAGGGTTTAAGGGTTTACAGGGTGTAGAACAGATAGCTTTACATTTATGGTATAGAGATCTAGACTGAAAGTCCCCAGGTAGAGACAGCCTTTCTGGTCTTCACTGGCATCGACAGCTGTGGCTGCTTCCTGCGCTGCGGATGTGCTCTGTTGGGCTGCATTTCATCTCTGGGGCATTAAGTGATCTACAGGGGTTATATTTTCCGAACGGTGCCTATGTAGGTGTTCGAGATATATTATGTATATATATATATATATATATATGTATAATATATATATATATATATATATATACGGGTTAGGCTGTATATATGTGAGGCTTACAAGGATCTGAGATTGGGATTTACAAGTGGGACCTTCAACTTGGCAAGGCATCTCGTTGGACTTAAGGGGCATTTGGGTTTAGGGTTTTGGGTTTAGCCCATTGTAATTTCTAAAACGAAACACATCAGGCATTATAAATGTAACCCTTAAGCTGCAAACTTGTACATGAATGCCACTGAACATAAACCCTGTGCGAGCTATAAGCCGCATCGAAAACATGATCGACATACAATACTTAACATGCAACACAAAGCTTAATTGGACTCAGTCAAAAATCCCATATACTATCGTGCCGGAAGATCATGCATTTTACCAATTGTGCAACTATGGAATTGTAGCTTATCAACATATTCGATCCTGTATATATATATATAAAATTTAAGTATCATATTATATATTATAATATTATCATGCATATTATATTTTATTTATTTTAGACAGGATCGAATATGTTGATAAGTTTGATCGATCGAACCCATGCCAAGCCTTCGCTTCCTTGATGAGGGCATGCCTCTGCTTCAGAACCTGAACTGAAGATTGCTTTCTTGAGTGCTTCTGTTGGAGAATTTGGGAACTTAAGGGTTTAGAGCCGGCCTCGATTTGTTTCAAGATTTCTCTCTCATCATCATCATCTTCTGTCTTTACGACCCCTCGGGTCGCAACATCATGGAGTATTTGGCCGCCCCTAACCAGGCTTTCCCTGGACTGGCCCACAGTGCTACTTGACCTACCCGGCTCCATCTCAAAACATCTTTCGGGCCACAAAACACCTATAGCAGGCAATCCCAGGGCTGTGTTCAGGGCCATGAAAACGTGTGTGTCAGTACTGGACGCCAATTTCCGGCATTTGGACGCCCATTTCCGGCATTTGGACGCCCATTTCCGCTATTGTTTGCGAGCCCGAATTTGCGCACAGCCCCGCAAGTGACAAAATGCGGCCAGAAGGATCAAAACCACCCCTATGCTAACCCTTACGTAGCCCTTACGTAGCCCCTGTAGAGGATCTGAGGTAGGATGCCAGGGGTTTGTAAGTACAGCAGAATCTGCTTCGAATCTACAAATCATGGTCAGGGCCCTGGTGCGGATGCAGGGAAGGAAGGTCCCGAGGAAAGCGTAGCTTTTCAATTAAAAGCTTGTACTCCTTGGGAACCCTGACATTCTTCGCAAGCCTCAAATATAGCACAACATCACCGAGAGCTGCTTCATCCCAGTCCGTGCTATCCCAGGACAGCTCAGCGAAGATCTCGTGGAGCGGCTTCTCGGAGCTCTGGTCGGCCACCTGCAGCAGATGGGATCTTGAGGTAGTTGGGGTTGAGGTTGTTGTGTCCCGCCTTCACAGACGGCCGCATCTCCCGGGAGGGTTCGATCATTTCCACGATCTTCCGGGAGAACAATGGAGGGTAGATCCTTAGGTGGGATATATTATATATCAGTGATGCTATTGGGGTTACTTGAGAATCTTTATGGGTTGTGGAAACTATATAAGCCTAGGAGCCCGCTCGGTTTCAGGTCCTGGGTCCCCTGCACCTTCTTTCTTCCAAGATGATCCGTGTATTTTCTGCTCAGCTTCTTGCCTGCCACCCGCTGCTCCCCCCTGGGCCGTCCCAGGTCGAATACCCTGATATATGGTGTGGTGGACCATAGCAAAGTCTTCTTCGGGTTTGCGTGCCCATGGTGGCACATGTAAAACTTCTGGATATAAACCTGAGCCAACATCTGTGTTTGCACTGCACGATTGCACAAGCATATACAGTTTAAGACCAGCAGCAGGAACCCCATATTCTTTCAAGACCGAACACATCCAGGAAAAGCGAGGGAAGTAGCCCAACACAGAGCTTCCTGGATTCTCCACGATGAAGTTGTGGCCCAGCACAGCCAATAGAACCAAGAGGAGACATGTCCTGCAAAGGTGTTTTTAATTTAGGGTTTTTGGGTTTTATAGGGTTTAGGGGGGGTTCAGGGTTTAGGGTTTTATTCTCCAATCCCTACACCCCAATAAACCCTAAACTGTGGCAGCTATGTGTCGGCAGAAAGGCTGTTATTGCCACATGTTTTGGCGAAGCTCAAAAGCACCACTGCAATAGACACAGAGAGAGAGAGAGAGAGAGAGAGAGAGAGAGAGAGAGAGAGAGAGAGAGATATAGAAGTATTGGGAAGTGACAGCATGGGAATACCAAAGCCACAAAATCTGAAACCCCAGGCTTAAAGGCCACTGTACGATCCCTGAAGCAACTAATGTAGCCTGCACCACAGAAGGAAAACCTTGTCCTGGATGTTGCTTGATTAGCATCGTGTACAGAATCTACACCAGGATCCCCCCAAGGGTTTAGCTCGGTTCTCTTTGAGCGGCCCTGGTTCATGAAGACAAATGTGCTGCACTCGACACCGAGGATTGCGAGGGCACCTTGCAGCGAGCCACTGAGAACCATCAGGACCGCCAACCTTGGCTGTGGTGCGAGTTTACAGTACATGTTGCTAAAGCGGAACCCATGCACTGTATAGATTGTAGCCTAGGAGCGCAAAGCCGGAGTTTTCATTCAGGTGGAGGGCTGATCTCTCAGACGGGTCGTATGCTTGGTCCGAAGCAACACACATATACCCAGCAGCCCGAGCCATCCTGGTGATCCTTGCCCGACCTGCATAAAGCTCTATGACATCAAATGTCTCATTGCAGAACGGTGGTTTCGGATCCAACCAGTACACCAGGAGGATGATGCTGATGAATGCCTGGGCTGGCTGGGCATTGGGGCGCGCTGATGAAAGCCTGGGCTGCCTTCGGGTGGGGGCCGGGGCTGGGCTGCATATAAGGGACCTTGGGGACCTTCAGGGCAGCGAGCTTGCGAATGCAAGCATCCAATGCCACATCATCAATCATTGCTGAGCAGATCGAACACTAGCAGATCGAACACTATACGTTACAGCTATATCGATGCTGTGCATGCAGTGAATGCTTGCATTATCTTGCATTAAGAGTGCAACTCCAGTCACTGCGAGCGAATGTTCAAAAGCGATCGAAAGTCCACAAGCTGAGCACTTGAGTGCCTCGAGGTGATCGTCCAAACACGGCAGCCACAGTCACTGCTTCAAAAGGTTTCACATCAAAGGGCTTGTATAGGGTTGAGGGTTTGGGTTCCATAAAGGGTGTGCTCGGGCGAATTAAAGTACAATCGGAGCATCCTGGGTTTAGGTAGACTAGCATGGGGTTTAGGGAAGGGGTTTCCGTAATTTCTATATATCTATATTATAGATTTCTAAAAATTAAAGGGACATATACTCTATATATGCACATGTGTGCAGCACAATGAAGGAATCCTATGATGCCTATAGGCATCATAGGATTCCTTCATTGTGCTGTGCACATGTGGGCTTGTCGGATTTGAAGAAGGCTTTCGGGTGTCATGCCAGGTGTTGATCTATATTTAGATATTATATATATGAATATAATATATTATAATATATATATATATATATATAATATTAAATATATTAAATTATAACACCCGGCATGACACGAGTGCACTAAGGAGGTTTGAATCATCATTTTCACTTTGGGGTTTAGTTTTTTGAGCACCTTAAGGGCTTAGGGTTAGGATTGGACCTGTTATTTAGGGTTTGGGGTTTGTTTTTTAGCACCTATCATAGGGATTAGGGTTAGGGTTTAGTCTGCTATTTAGGGTTTGGGGTTTAGTTTTTTTTAGTACCTGGTTTAGGGCTTAGGGGTATGGGTTGGGTCCGTTATTTTGTTTAAGACTGCAAGCGAGACTGCTGCGCCTTCATCCAAGGCAGGCACGACACCTCTGCGGGCCAGAAAGGCCTGTCCACGCTTCATCGTCGAGCCTCGGCGAGATAGTGGGTTCGTACAATATGGGGTTGAGCTGCGAAGTTTCAGCTATAAAGCACAGGTTTAAACTGCATGCATCTTTTCAAGCTCAGCTGTTGCCTGCTTTCATGATCGCGATGCGAACTGGCCCCTTGCATGCAGCAGCTACTCTCACAGTCTGCCCGCCCGAGCACAGGTATCAGGATATGGCAGATTGTAAGCACAGCAATGTAATTGCAGAACCCCAGCACAATGAGAAAAACCACTGTGGCTAATCATCGTGCTTTGCACCAGCCCATTAAACATCAGGACTCCTTCGGAGCCTTTCGCAGGTACTCACGTACAGCTAGCTTAGCAGCTTTCACACAAGCCTGAGGATCACCACTCGTTGGCATCATGGGTTTGGCCACAGCCCCTAAAGCATCCTGTTCAGAAGCAGCAAAATACATTGCAATGGGCACATGCACAATCTAGAACAGACATGTGCGCCACATCAGCCACATGATCTTAAGAACTGTCCTGCTCCACACTGCCACAAGTGTCTGCAAGCTCGGCCCGGAAGACATCCCGAATGGCTGTCCAGTGGTTCAAGGGGACTGTCATCTTCGGTTTGGCACGTCTAGCAAAGCTTTTATCCTCCTCAGCATGGCGCTTTCGCTTCTTAGCACCATCATCTGAAGTAGCCTTGTCTGGGGGAGGCATCTTTGGAGCTGCCTTGGCCTTCGGGCCGGATTTCGCCTTGGCTTTGCCCTTGGGCTTGGGTTTGCTCGGGGATGCCTTGCTCGGGGATGCCTTGCTTGGGGATGCCTTGCTTGGGGAATCTTGGCATCCCTTTGCCTTGCTTGCTGACGCCTTCGGGGAAGCTTTGCTTTTCGGGGCTTTGCAGTTTGCTGCCTTGGCTTTGGCTTTAGCTGTGGCTCCCTTTGGTGCTCTGGCTTCCTTAGGGGGAGTCTCCAAAACTTCAGAATCCTCAAGAACAGCAGCTTTGGGTTTTGGCGAAGGGGTCTTTAGGTAACTTTAGGTCCTCGCCCGAGGCCCCACCACGGCCCCTGCAGCCACGACCTCTTCCCCCACGACCACGACCTGTCTTGCCACCTGAGGCGTTGCCTTTGCCGCGGCCGCGACCGCGACCCTTGCCCTTGCCGCCACGGCCACCACGGCCTCTGCCACGAGGCTTGGATTTACCAGACTCGCTAGCCTCCCCATCTTCACCATCGCCATCATCACCCCGAACCTTCGTAGCTCCGTGCTGGTCCAGGTAGGAAGGCTTGCCCTGACTGGGATTCGGTCAGGTATAGAACATACAAGTGCAATGGCCAACTGGACAAGACTGGGATAATTTTAGAACAAGACACCTTAAAGTTCATGACATCGAAGTCGGCAGGGTCCTCTGGCTCCGCGTGGCAACCTGGTTCCAAGGAAGTAGAGGGATTAGCGGCTTTCGAGGCTCCATCACCAGGCAGATCAGCTTCTGGGGCTTTTGAGGCTCCATCACCAGGCAGATCAGATTCTGGGGCTTTCGTAGCTCCATCACCAGGCTGATCAGCTTCTGGGGCTTTCGAGGCTCCATCACCAGGCAGATCAGATTCTGGGGCTTTCGTAGCTCCATCACCAGGCAGATCAGATTCTGGGGCTTCCGAGGGTCCACCATGCAGATCAGCTTCTGGTGCTTCGCTAGGCAGATTGATTTCTGGGGCTTTTGAGGGTCCATCACCAGGCAGATCATCTTCTGGAGCTTCCGAGGGTCCAGTGCCATCGAGTTCAGGACTCGGAGATGAAGCATAATCCTGTCGAGGATTCAGGGTTTAGGGTTAATGCTTGGATAATAGAGCTGCTGTATTGCATGAGATCTATTGCAGGAAATGCCAATGTACAGTCCTCCATACACAAGGAAACACCGTCATCATCACTGATATCGATGCAGCCTGCTGGACCTTCAAAGTTTCCAGCCGTGATGTCCCAGGGCACAGTGTCCGAGACAGATGGATCAGGTGCACCTAAGATATGCAATGAATCGTGAAGTCTTCTATAGAAGCTAGATATATTGAACGAATCACGCAAGGATATATCTGCAATGCCGAGATGCTGCGTGCTCGCACTCTGCGGCGATCTTCCAAGTAATTCCTAAGATTCTCAAACGAAAAGAACCAAGCAGAATTTCAAACAGCAGTTGCAGTGCAGGCTTAAGATAAGTTTCTGCAGGATTTGCAGCTGCTGCTCCGTGGCCTGCAGCTCTGCATCTAAGGCATCCTCGGCTTCCCGAGCCGGCGCTTCTGCAGACCCACTGGCATCTTCGGCAGCTGCGTCTCCAGCATCTGGGTAAGCATCATCCTCAGCAGGAGCCACACCATCATCATCATCATCCAACTCCTGGTCGGGTTCTGCAGCCTCCTCACCCCAAGCTTGCGTCATTTCACGGAATAAGCCATGTAGTGTACGATCCTTGAGTCACAGCAAAATCAAAGCTAAGACTAAGACAGTGTTCTCGGCAAGACATGGAAATTAATGCTTGACTAGGCACCCGTAAGGTAGCGATGGGAGCCTTCCACCGTCGCATAGCTAGGGTAGACAACCGCTTGATACCCCAGCTGTCGACATAAATAGGCACTGTCTTCCCTTTGCCACCAGCACAAAGCATATCGTGAAGGCCAGATACCTGAGCGAGCGTGGACCACATATTGTAGAGGCTACGTGGAGGCAACCCGAAACAACCTACACTAAGTACCAGGAAGTCCAGACTGAAAACCCTGAGCCGCAGATTCAAAGTGTCAGCCTCCGAAGCTATCTCATATATAAGCTAGCTTACGGGGTTTGCTTTCTTGTTTCAAGGGTTTGGGGATTTAGCGTTTTCCGGGTTTGCGTTTTTCGGGAACCATTTAGGGGCTGACAAAGACAAGTAGCTTCGTTCTTCAGCCAATCCACCGACATAGCTTTAGGTGTGGGGGTCGCTTGGCCCCAGATGCGTATTGCAAGCTTGATCACGGTAACGTTCAGGGCCAGGGCTTTCAGGCTAGCAACCCCTACCAGCTCTGGCGAGGGCCAAGAAAGTAGGTGGCCCTTGTTCTGCCTGAATAGGCTCCGAACCTCATTGTCCTCCTCGAAAGCCGTAGCCAAAAGTCCTTTGTCTGGCCAAACCATTGCTGTTCGTCCCCTGCGGATACGAACCCCCTGCCCATGGGTCACCTCTGGGCTGTCATCAGCAGCCATGGCTTCACTCCTAAAAGCCCTGCAACCCAAATCCTGCGAAGCAGAATGGTGAAGTTCTCATGCATGCATCAATTGACCAGAATTTGAAGGATCAACCACCTGAGATATGGACTCGTGTAGCCCAGATCGAGGCCACCAGCCAAAAGAAACCTGGGCCCAACTGAAATCAGAGTCGCACTGTACTGAGTAGAGCTGTCATGGGGCCATCACCCATAAAAGTTGATCAGGATCAAGATCAAAACGATCCTGCATGGGCAACTCATATGAAAACCGGAGCTTCAGTGTGATCTAACCCGAGACGAGCCTTCGGAAAATTGATGAGGCAGCCAGCGGCACCGGCGCACACATTCAGAGGGACCTGCGAAGGGCAGGCTTCGGCAGCTAAAGAAAAAAGACCGATCGATATGTCCAGCTGTGCAGGCCAACTCTGAATACATTTTTTTCCGCCCCATTGAAATGCACAAGACCTACAGTTTCTCGATCACTCGTGCCAACTGCATCAGCCTGTACAGAAAACCCCGTCATACCCCATCATGATTGCTATCATAGCAGAACTCAGCGGTCATATGGATGCGTATTTGCGATCTGAAGCAGCACTCCTTCAGGGATTGCTTTCAAGCTGAATATGCATGCCCAAAAGACTTGAGAGTCACCGAGCCTTGTCCTTGTTCAAACAAATCGGAGAAGTGTTTGCAGATGCCACCAACTTGTATATTTGTGACCACATCCGAAAGCATCCGGTCGGCACTTGGAAGGTCCTGCATGCCGACGATTCATTAGGACTCGTAGTTGGGTGCTTGCTAAGCCCTGAACCAGTAAGATCTAACTCAGTCCTGCTGATCGGCATATAACGCCTCCACCGAAGCATTCCAGAATTCATCTGGCATCTGCATCAGTCCTGCTGGAAAAGTAAATCTTAATCAACCCGAAAGGGAAATCCAGTCCATCACATGCTCATAATGAGTCCTGCTTTGTGCACCAGGTCCAACCCCGAAGGAGAGCATTCGGTCAATACTTTCGCTGACATCGGGGAAAACTTTACCTGGGCCCTTGAGCAATCGAAGTCTGCAATGATAACAAATGTGTTCACAGGATGCATGCAGCTCGATTCAATCATCAGCAGAAAGCAACAACTTTGAGCAAGTGGGGGGCTGACCTCACGAGGCCAAGCATCGAAGCCCAAGATGGGCTCGCCAAAAAAGGATTCAGCCGATTGGCTGTAGCACTGAGCTTATATTGTATGATTTGGGAAGATGCAATGGGATAGGTTCAAGAAATATACCCTAGAAACCTTAACCCTTGAACCCAGAAAATATGTGTGCTACACACATGAATGGTGTAAGTATTGCGAACACATACCTGAAACCCTAAATTTTTAAACTCTATATGGGTATGTAAGATATACAAGACTTGTTGTGTAGACAAGATCAAGATTCGGCATGCGGCTGCCCATGATTTGAACCCTCAGCTGCAGCTGAAAACCTCTAAAACCCCTTCAAAAGCCAATAAATGTAATATTACGTTTTTTCCGCGCTATTGCCTTATAACCATTAATTATGAAATGTATGTTTTTTTGTATAGGCTAGGGTGGTCAAGGTAGGTCCCTATTATGGTAACTCAGAATAAATCCCTTAACAAGGACCCAGAAAAAAAAACACTGTGCAAAAGAGTTTGATTCCGCCACAGCCTAGAAGGGCAGCAGCAAAGCCTGCAAGGTGAAACTTTGCCCGAAAGCAGGCTAGCACTTGTCAAACTATGAGGCAGGCAAGGCTGGTGAAAATGCTGTAGGAACTTTCGTGGAAGATCTGCGACCGGCAGGCTATGAAATGTCCCGGCAGCCGTGATCTTTGCACCAACTCTTTCCAGGCTCTTCAAAGCCAGAACATGGTAGGCCTATGAAGAATGGCCCCCAACACCGGGACTGCCATATGTGCGTATCAATGTATGCATGCATGCATGCATGCACGTATGTATATACGTACTTAGGTATCTATGTAATGACGTATGTATGTATGTATATATGTATGTATGTATGTATGTATGTACTTCTGTATGTATGCATGTATACGTGTGTGTGTATATATGTATGCATGTATGTGTGTGTGTGTGTATGCATGCATGCGCATGTATGCATGCATGTATGTTTGCAGGCATGTATGTACGTATGTATGTATGTATGCATGCATCATGCATGCATGGACGTACTCAAGTACGTATGTCGTAAGTAGGTAGGCAGGTAGGCAGGTAGGTAGGTAGGTCGGGTGGTCGGGAGGTATAACGCGGGTAGGTATAAGAAGGTAGGTAGGTACGTAAGTAGGCAGGTATTTGAGGGACCCTTTGCCAAAGCACATGTGATCATGATGTATCCGAAGCCCCATCGGGCCATCGTGCAAAGCTACAAAGGTTCGAGAAGTCATGTCAAGGATGAAAACACACATTAAAAAAAGCATCCAAAACTCTGAACTTTCTGGGAATCATCATCTTCGACCGACCGCCCAATCCTAAACCTGAAGACATCGAACCTAATCTCCAGCCCTCAATCTCCTGTTCCCCAAACCCCAACGGCCCAAGTCCCTACACCCCAAGGTTCAATTACCCTAACCCCCGAAAATTCTCAAGCCCTCAACCCCCCTCATCCGGCAGACCCCTTGAATCCTGAAGTCCATTAGCTTACCTTTGGTTATAGTAGGGAATGGAAGAATGGTAGGAATATGGTTGATGATACAAATCCTGCATTACCGCAAGGACCCCAAACTATGGGAGTTTTGGTGTTTTCCTTATTGTGGGTAATGCAGGATTTATATCATCAACCGTAGTAGTTATAATTGTACCCCATTCCTCCATTCCCTTCTCACCAAAGGTAAGTTAGCTCATCAGAAGCAATCCAGGCTTGCTCTCTCATCAATGGCCCTCAGCAGAGGCCTGTGAAGGAGGCGGGTTTCATGTCAAAGGGGTTCAGGCTCTTGCTCAGGGGTAAACCCTAAACCCTAAACCCTAAACCCTAAACCATAGCTTGGGAGGGTGCCTGTTGGAGACTGTTTGGTTTTGCATGGTTTTGGAGGTTCTTTCGGATTGGGGAGTTTCCGTAATGAGGGGTACCTTCTTTTGGGCTCCTTATAATGAGGATCCTACTATTTAGAGTACTATATTAGGGTCCCCTATTTTCGGAAACTCCCATTTGTTGATTTAACCTTCATGTTGTTTGTTGCAGGCGCACACGCGTTGCTTTACGGTTGGATGCAGCATTTGTGCATAGCACTACAACCCTCAACCCCAAACCGGATGCGCCCTGAACCCCTTGTAAGATCCCCAAACCGTCTAAGCCCACATATTCTGGAGGACAATCTTCGGATAGGCTGATGCAAAAGAGTGGATCTGTCGTTCAAAATGAAACAAAAGCCTCTGAGCTCTACCCTAAACCCTAAATCCTGAGCCTTAAACCCTAAACCCTGCACTGCTTAAAGCCCCTGAAAACTGAGAACTGAGCTGTAGAATATAATCTCAGAGGATTAGCTTGCCTAATAGTCGAGTAGGTAACCTTTAACCTTTTTTGCGTAGTATAGTCCGTATATATAACCCCTATATACCCAAAAAGGTTAACGTTTAGTTACCCATGATACCCAACAAGTAGGCTTAAGCGCTCGGGAAGCTTCAACCATCCTCCACCTCCAAGACCATTCACTGGTTTCGGGTTTTAAGTGGAGGGCTTTGAGGGGTTTGTCGGTTTAGTTTTTGGTGCTTACGGCTTAGAGAGTTCAGGTGCTGATGTTTGTTCTGGGGCGGTGGTTCAAGACCTCAAAAGAGCAACAACACGAGCTGCGGCTGCATGGCTTTATCGCTGCATCCCCAGGTTCCCCACTATTCTCATGAGCCCCTCTAACTCCCTTTGCCCTTTCCCACCCGTTAGATACTTCTGATAATCCCTATGGGCCCCTAAGCCGTTTTAAACTCCAACCCCATGGCATCAAGCAGGCCGACCAACAACGCGCCGATGCACAGACGGCAGAGGCAGCGTCTAAGGGTTCCGGGTTTAGGGTTTCGGTTTATGGTTTAGGGTTGAAGTTTTTAGAGTGTAGCCTTCAGTGCTTTGCTTTCGAAAGTTCTCAGCTTTGGTGGCCTATAGGAGGTTTGAGAGTTCTGCAGCGGATTTATTGGGATCCATATATCAAGATGCTGTATAGTTAGACCTTAATCAAGGGGTTCCTTTGTAGGTACCATAGAGTTGAAGTATCTGCTACCTAGGTAGATGGACCATCTAAGGGGAGATCAACACTCGCAGGTTTTGGGGCTTGGGTTAAGGGACTAGAGCCACGACTTAGGGTTCAGGGTTTTGCGAGTTGGTTGGAGCATTTCGGACTTGCATGGGTTTGGCAAGTGGGGACTTGGAAATGTCAGGCTTCAGAGTGGCATGGTGTTGTGAGATTATAAGCAGTCTTCGGAAGGTGCAGGATTCAAGACGACTCAAATCTGCAGCAGCTTTGGGGGTGTTACTTCCGGTTGCCATGTCATGGATTGTAGAGCCTAAACCTTAAACTATTCACGTTCAACTATGGTGGAAGCGTCAGTCGAACAGGAAGGGCAGGTAGCAAACCCCATGAGTGCTCGCTTCCATCGCAGCAGACGACGTGATTGCATCTTGCTTTGTTCGCGGACCGAGGCCGACCCCAAAACCTAAACCCTGAACCATAAACCCTCAACCCTAGACCTAAAAGCCCCACGTCTGATGATGTTCGTGTCTGGCAGATTCGTGATCGAAGTAGAAGTCTTGACCCGTGAAGCAGATGGTGCTGATGATCATGAGGGAACGATAGTGTTTTCTCTTTCAGTGTACGCCTCAACGGCAGGCTCACCTCGTTCTGCGGAGTCGACAGAGCCACTGCACTTTAAAAAAGAAAACATAAAAGCCCAAACCCAGGCCGGAGGCATCTACA